TCTGCATCAGTGCAGTCAATGCTTATATAAATTTGTAAGACTGAGGAATAAGCCGACTACCCTTCGTGCTCAAGTAAGGTCTCGGTGGGGGTTTGCTGATGAGATAAGGACTACAGCTTTTTACTTTATATGTCCTCAGTCTTGTGCCTCTACAGAGCACTGGAAAGTAAGGAAGCAAACGTGGAAGTAAAGATGAACAGATTTTTTTCCTTGCCATTTGTCCCTACACAATCATTACGAAGAACGAATTGTGATGTGGGTGGTGGGATTGAGATGTGCATGATTAGCGCAGTGGCGTCTGTCTTCTCTTGGGAAACCATTCTAGCCTAGATCAACCCGTGAGCCTTTCAACCTCAAAATGCCCAGTCGACAGCTGTGAAAAACTTTGGAAGGTGCAGTGCGTGACCTGCCAGCCCCAAACCGCAGGAAATAGCATCGTACCGGTAGTGGTAGCTGATTCAAGCAGCTGTCATTCCCTTGGCTGTCCAAGAGCCAAGTATGGAGCTGGTACTGCACTCCCAGCTTGAATTACAATTACTCCACTCCGAAGACCTTGTGAACCTCGGATGCCGTTTGTTGTACGGAATGTGACAGCCCAATGAAGCTTTCATAGAATTTATTCAGATTCTAATAAAAATCGTCTAACAAATGTGATAACAATTCAAATCCTAACAACCATGACCGACGTTGGAACCCGGCTGGCTTTTCAACCTAGCCTAGCTGAGTCCATTGTAGTGGAGCCGTATTTCCTTCTGAAATTTAAACAAATATACGGTAGAAGCTTAATCCGTAAGCATGCCCACATGACTCCCTCTGTTTTGGGAGCAAGTAATCTGACACCATCGTCTCGAATGATATACACTTTCTTCTCAGATCACATATTTAAATAGAGTACTTGTCACGATTTCTCCTGGGCGTATCACTGGTCCCGGTCCTTGCGCTATTGGTTCAGGTGGAGTGCTCGAACTAGCTTTTCCTGGCTGTATCACTGGTCCTGGTCCAAAAGTGGGTACAGGATTTGCTGCAAATGGGGAAACAAATTGTTAGCGTCATCAATTTTCTTTAGCTGATTCGATTAAAGTACTTGTTACAGTTTCTGGAACTATCACGGGACCTGGTCCTTGCTCTATCGGTCCAGGTGATGTAGATGGTACAATCCCTACAGGGGTTATCACTGGTCCAGGTCCATCAATAGGTACAGGATTTGCTGCAAATGAAAAAGAAATTGTCAGACGCTCCACCTGGTTTAACTGGCTCAGCTGAAGTACCTGTCGCAGTTTGTGGGATTATCACTGGACCTGGTCCTTGTTCAATCGGTTCAGCGGTAGAGCTTGAAACAGTTTTTCCTGGGAGTACAACCGGTCCAGGTTCTAGTTGCATCGGGCCAAGTGAACTGCTCGACGCAGCTTTTCCTGGCCTTATCACTGGCCCCGGTCCACAAATGGGCACAGGATCAGCTGCAAAAGGAAACCAAGTTGTTAAACTTTCTTCACACGGTTTGACTGATTCAAAAAAGGTACCTGTCACAGTTCCTGGAGTTACTACCGGTCCTGGTCCTTGTATAATCGGTCCATCCGAGTTACCCGAGACCTCTTCAGGGATTATCACTGGACCCGGTCCACCGATGGGTACAGGATTTGCTGCAAACAAAAAAATAAATCGCTTGTTTTCATCATTTGAATAAATTGATTCTATTATTATTGGTCCACCCGAGTTACCTGAGACAACTTCTCCAGGTATTATCGCTGGTCCTGGTCCCCCAATGGGTACAGGACCTGCTGGAAGTATATGTTATAGATTGTGTACTTACGTCTTTTTGTTCCGATGACTAAATTAAAGTACCTGTTACAGCTTTTGGGACTATCACTGGACCTGGTCCTTGATCTATTGGTCCGGGTGAGATTCCTGATACGGCATTTCTACGAATTATCACTGGTCCTGGTCCTTGCTCCATTGGTTCAGGAGAAGGGTTTGATACAACTTCATCAGGGATTATCACTGGCCCCGGTCCACCAATGGGTACAGGAGCAGCTACAATGGCAAACAAGTTGTTTACTTTCCTTACGTGATTTGAAAGGTTTAACTAAGGCACCTGCCACAGTTCCTGGAGCTACCACCGGTCCTGGTCCTTGTATAATCGGTCCATCCGAGTTACCCGAGACCTCTTCAGGGATTATCACTGGACCCGGTCCACCGATGGGTACAGGATTTGCTGCAAACAAAAAAATAAATCGCTTGTTTTCATCATTTGAATAAATTGATTCAACCAGAGTACCTGTCGCAACTTCCGGAGCCACTACTGGCCCTGGTCCCTGTTGAAAGGCATCAGGTGAAGGGTTGGATACGATTTCTCCAGGAGTTATCACTGGTCCTGGACCAAGGATTGGTAAAGAATTAACTGCAAAGAAGAGAGTATTGGCTAAATCAGTTGGGACTCAAACACTTGCTCCCTAGTTGTACCAATAGCTCTATCAGGTTTTGAAACTTCGACTTGTGTAAAGGAAATGCTTGCTCACCTGTGGCGAACGCAAACAAAATGATAATGAAATTCATCCTGGAATGATTTTTACTTCTGAAAGTAGAAGATAGGTATTTTCCAGCAAAACAAACTCAAGAGTTGGTGCTAGAACTGCTTAAAAGGTACCGAAATGGGGTGTGATCAGTTTGATGATCGATGGTAATCAGATAATCAATTGGTGTGGGCTGGGAGCTAGAGCCACCCAAATGAGCGGCTCTAAGTGACATGAAAATGGAAAAGAGAAGGAAAAATACCAGAAAATCACGAACTAGGGAAAGTAAGAAATACGTCTATTCAGAGGGAATCATACTCAACAGTGTGATTGGCTACTGAGGTCTAAGTGGATCCGGGAAGGCGCCACCGTTCGCGGGCGACCCAAGGAGTAGACTGAAAGCAGTTTAGTCTTACCAGCGATTGGTCTCCTTTGGTTCTGGGAAAGTTTATATCCACCTACCTATCTCTTTCACTGTTTTTTTGTCTTTTTCGAGTGAACCAGTCTACCTCTCTGGCTAATGTGAAACCATGCAGACAAATTTGTTGAAAATAGGACCTCTTGACGTCATTTCCTCCCTGCTAATCCGCTTATTATTACCAAAAATGGTCTGTAAGACCTTTATTCCCTTATTTCGGATACTTTGATGTAATGCTGAGTAATTTTTGATTATTAAGATCAAAAACTATGTGTAGGGCAACGAAGAATCAATTGGTCGCCAGCTACACTTTGAAGTCGGTCGACTTAGTAGAAGGACTAGCATACGCCATTAGATTCCACAGTGACTCATAAGCCGGTTACTTGTAAACAAAACTTTTCAAAATAGACCGAGAGTTCGATTTTTTGCTCGTGACAGGTGGTGAGAATGAATCTTTTACCAGGATAAATTATGGAAAATCCGTGCTATACCTACATAGGCTCGTCGTTCTGCTTCCACTCCACCACGTCCTTCAGGTAGTGTCCACCTGTTTCATGATACTCTCCAGAGTAGTTCTAAAAAGACAAAGGAGAACCATGGTCATGTTTAAGATTATGTTCACCTACTGAACCGGCAGTAGCTCTGTCCCGACGAGCAGCACAGTGTGGTTCCAACGAAATGGAGAAGGCCGAATACTGAAACAGAACTGGATCTTGATCACAATGGAACAGCTTCGAAAACCATGTTGCGAACGCACCCATAAGAACCCAATGTGTATGTACTGAATTTGCAGGTTGAGTCATCTCACGTATTCGTTTCCATGCCATTCTGAAGCTGAATGGTTCTTCGATTTCGCAAAGCTTCTGAAATTAGGCCTATCAAAAGCGCTGAATGTACTCCATCGCGTCGTCTGAGGCAAAAGTACATTCCTAGCGTTGACTCAGGGATATGAATCAACTGGCACATACTAACGTTATCATTGTATCTCGGGCTAGTCTAAATTAAGAATCGTCGGGGTGTTTCAAGTAAATTGGATGTTTTCTAAAATCAAGTATGTTAAGCGTAATAGTCTTCTAAGCCCAAGCCTGATGTCAAGCTTGGGCTGTGTTCAAGGAAGGATTACGTCAAGGTGATAGACAGGGTATAATGAGCGATCAATCAATGAACAACTCAGAGTTGATAGGAACTTCAAGCCATGGGAAATTCGAATTTATAGCGAAGTTTCTGTGTTTCGCCAACTGTGAGGTGGAGGTATTGACAATCGGCTTTCTCTACGAATAAAAGATATCTCCGATGGATAACCAACTCAATGACTAGCAATGGCTGTCTTTCTCAGCATAATTGTACGGCACTGATGCTTGTAGAATTGAAGCTGGGAATGGAGTGCATGGCGTATTAGGTTAGTGTGAAGGGATGAATTTGGAGTCTCTCAAAAAGCTTCCCATACGTGAAGCAGACTGCCATCAGCGTTCAACTCTTCCTTTTTCAGCTTTAACCAATTCGCTTCCAACCAATTTTAGAATCGCTCTTCGAACTGTTGTACAGACGACCGCTTTCGGCCGACCTCCTGAGCAAACTGATCTCTCCCTTCCAATGCTTTCGCCATAATTTTTCGTATCACTGTGACGAGATGGCACTACTTCCCGCCTCGGATGTGATTCACGAAGAGGGACAACCAGAGATCAGCATCAAACGGATGGATATAAAGGCTGTCTACCATCGGGATCCCCCATTGTCAGCCATCATGTCCCACTTGATGAAGCATTAACTTGAGCTTCTCGTCCATGTCATAGAAAGCCCATCCGATTTGTTGTTCTGCTACTACTTTTCCCTACTGTACAAGTTACAATTTCAGAATGAACAACTTTATTTTTGTCCTGGCCATTGTCGGCGTGGCGCTTTGCCATCCGGGTGGCAAGGGAGCCCCTGGAGGCGGAAGCAGCGGGTCCGACGAAATGGCCGGTCCCGGGCGACGTCCTGGGCCACCACCACCACCACCCCCACCACCATTCCTTGAAAACCTTCCCGAAGAGGCCCGAAAGGAGTTTTTCGCGATTGTGTTGAATAAGGATGAAAAGATCGCTGACCAAATGCAAAAGATTCTGACATGGGCTCAGAAATATGGAGTTGAGGTACGACTGCTCTCTATAAAGATCTTGTGGATGTCAAACTCAGCTTGTACATTAATTGGAGAACACTGTCTGTTTTTAGGCTCAGGTACAAGAATTCAACGCTAATGTGACCAAGCTTATGGATGAGGTGAAGAAGAATGCAACGGAATTGATCAGCGCCCTTCCATCAGCATTGGAAAAGCTCTCGGCCATAGTGTCCAACCAGGATCAGACAGTAACTGAGCTGAAAGACGCTATCAAAGCATTGAGTGCTGAAAACCCCAAGGTAAGGTCTCCCTGGCTTGCAATTTTTTGTGATGATTGCTCAAGATGAACGTTGAAGAATAGAATTTTGTTTTGGCTCAGGTTTTCCGCGCCCTGATGCTCGTCCTTGGTGAATTCAAACCGAAACATGGCGGACGACCACACAAATTCAAAGGCCCAAAAGGAGGACCAGAAGCCGAAATTATCGAATTCCAAGGTTTCCCAAGAGGAGGATTCCCCATGGGGGGACCTGACTCGGAAACCGAATTCAATTTACCACGAGGTTTGTCTAGTACCTTGATGTGGAGGTTTCTATGAATCATTGACCATCAAAGAATTGTTACATTGTATTTTAAGGAATCGGTGGAGGAGTTGCCTTTGGAAACAAGAAAGCAGGATTCTGAGCTTGAATTGCCCTTGATATTATAACAACGTGCTACCTCCCAGCCCGATCTGCTCCAATCGCCTCTCTACCTCTGTGTTCCAATGTTCACTGTGTTAACTGTTTATGTTTACGTGACCAATGAAGAACTACAGCAGACTAGTCTTGTAAAAATCAAAAATCAGTTGCCATCAGGGTCGGTGTTTTTTCAAAAAGCAAAAAGCTCGCCTGTCAGTGCAAACGTAGCCAAAAGTGGTTTTTGGCCGGCACAGGCAACTGTATCAATTGCTTCCCAACTCCCCTCCATTTGTTGATTCAGCTGGTGCTCAAAAACCTGAGCATATCTTGTCGGTTTTAAATTTTTGTATCAGTTTAAGACTTATCAATGCGGCAGTTTAAAATGAACCCAAAGATCGTGAACTCAGAAAGACGAGACTTAGGAAGGTGCTAACTAGGTGATGAAATGGACCGATTACTTATTATTACCTGTCGTCCCGTTGATCACCGAATTTCCTCGAGCTTCGTCAGTAACGTCTTCGTCCCTGTCACGAGCCGGAGTGGTCCAATCGTCCTCGCTTCAGGGACACGAGACTCAGTATTCCATTAGTTTAGAGCTTCCGTGAAGAAGTCTGACCATCGCATTTGCGACTTACTCATGATATTTTCGGATATTTCCCACCAAAGTTTTCCAATAGATATAGTCTTCCACTCATTTAGAAAAAGAGATTGAGAGAAGAGGAGATAGAGATTCAGAAAAGAACCATACAAACCGTTAGGACCTCAAAAGTTCCGGCCAAGTATGGTGTATGGAAAAAACTAAACCCAAAGCCATGTAGTACTGTAGGAAGCTTCTACACACTTTGCACTCTTTTGTACACAAAGGTAATGACGAGTTTACTTCTCGCAATTTTATTTTGGGCTGCAAATCTGTAGATGGCAAAAAAGTAGCATCCTGCGTAGGATTCCTTTTAATATAGTAGAGCCTCCTGCCATTATTGACGTATTCTTGTCATTATGACCGGAAGTGAGGCTATGACACGAGGTAATAAATCTAAGCTATAAAAAGTTATCATTCGAAATGCATCATGGAGTTTTTATAGCTCGAATGTGTTCGCAGACACTTAACATCCCATGGTTATGACGTCAAATCTTTCAGCGACTTTTTACTAGGTCTCGCTTTTTCATGCTGAACTCTCCACACGAAAAAGATATTAAAAAAATAATTTTGCAAAAAAAAGGGAGGAAAAGACGTTCTCAACGCGGATTGATAATTTGCAAACTATGGATGCTTTTTCTAAGAAACTAAAGATTCGGTTAAGTCTATAAGCTTTCATGAAGACAGAGGGCTTCTCAAGGGTGCACAAGGCCTAACAAAACACAAAACCAGATCCACTTCAGGGGCTTCCCTCACCCAGTTCTCCTTTCGACACCGGTCGAGCAATCTTCTTAATCTGGAAGGGATAATCTCGTTAAATTCGGAAATTATCAAAGTTCCGTTAGTCATAGGCCATGTTTGGTGGGTTATGCTCATGGGGGCGGAATGGCTTATCAGTTGTGATCTGGTATCAAACGATTAAACGTTTCGGCCACTAATCTTTTCACTTTTGTCGGACATAACAGGTCTGAACGATTAGACATCAAAAGCCATCCGAATGACATCATCCACGGGAAACGAGGCAACTGATTCAATATACAAATTTATGAGGGAACAACAAATATGCTCCATTGCAAGGAGTACAGTAAACAAGGATCACTAAGAGTTGTAGTTCACTCTCAAAATCCTTTCAATTATTTGATTTCCCCGGGATATACAAAGGTGACTGTTTTCTAGCTAAAGAACTGCTTGAGTCGTCCTGAGGGAGGGTTTGAACGATGCTTGTTGATAGTTGCGATTTTGGAACTATACCCCATACAAGTGCATTGAGCTAGGCCATGCCTTTCCAGAAAATCGAGACTTTCTCAAAGAAACTGCCTTATTTGAAGACGCAGCCGACTCTGAACAGAATGTTCACTAAAAAGGAGTGCTGAAGAACATGGAGAGCAGTCAAAAACTGCACAGTCCGGAATCATGAAAAGCGGCACCTGCTCGGACGGCGGCTATTATTATACTTCTGACTGCAAGTATCGGAGGGTTTCTTCCAGAATTTCCTACTCTTTTCTGCAAATTCTTCGGTTAAACTTGCGATTTCTTCGTCTAGGAGAAATTGGAGGTCAATAAATTAGGAGAGGAGCTATCAAATTGACGCAGACCTGCCAAAATCCAATGTCCTTGAGCTGTTGACAAACTTATGAAGTTTTCGATACGACTCCGGCTCCGTCATGGTCAGTTTTCCTACTCTTACTACAGTGATCGCCCGTCTACGATAGCCGCTCCTTTTTCTCAGATGAATCCATCAGACTGTTTTCTACTAAAGCTGTACGATGGAACTTTGCATGAATAGGTTAAGCCCTCCTATAACCTACTCCCATAAGACGAATCGAAGGTGGCGAGTGGGAGGGAAAGAGTTTACCGTAGGATTGATTCACTTCTGAGTTTTGAAAGGCCTGATATTCTGCAAAGTAGTCCGAACGTTTCTGAAAAATTTATCATAACGGGGAAAAGGCTGACAGGTCCAAGAGTTATAGCCAAAAGTAGTAATAAATAAATTCGGTGAGTACCATTTCCACACTAGGCTAATCATTTTTCCTCTTAGCCGAACCACTTGATGAATTCGCTTTAGAAAGTAATCAAGCATTCTACCTTTCTACGATTTTAACCGAATGATGATTACTTGGCTCACCCCAGAACAAGGTTCACTGCCACTCCTAAGAGGCACTTTTACTTTTTCATAGCTGCTCGAATTCTGATATCCGTACCAGTAGTAGTAACTACCAGTTAGTTATTAGTCAGCATCAGATAGAAATAAAATTTGGAGAACTTCTCTTCTAGATTTCCAGGATTTTCTATGGGAGAGCATTTTTTCCAAAGACCAGTTGCTCTTTGAAATGACGAGCTCATTCCTGGTCATTGAAACCGATAAGCAACTGTTTTCGATTCGTCTAAAATTAGCGTGGACATGCCTAAACGGGAAGTGATGATTTCTGACATCAGCGGGGTTTCCCTTGCCGATATGAATCACTTGGCGTAATCACCATAGATCAGCACTTGAAAGGTTGCTATAAAAGCTGTTGTCTGGGCGACTTTTAACATCTCGTTTTCGTCTTTTGAAGATCCACTCACTTCAGTTCAACTCTTCAAGTCTCCTTCTTCCTTCTGCGATGACTCTAAAGTTATTACCTACAATTAAAGTGCTTTCAGAATGAACACAATCATCTGCATCGTTATCTTTGCCGGTGTAGTTCTGAGCGCTCCTGGTGCGAAGGAAGATAAACGTCATCGGGGACATCATGGAGACCTCGAGAACTCATTGCTACCACCGTTCCTTGAAAACGTGACCAGAGAAGCGCGGAAGGAGTACTTCAAGATCATATTCAGCAAGAATGAGACAATCCGCGAACAGAAGAAAGAAGTACTCGAATGGGCTGAGAAGAACAACGTTACGGTGAGAATTTCTAGTTTCGGTGAGAAAAATTAGAGCTTTTTTCTGCAAAACCCAGTAGTTAGGGGGTCCCAACAGACATTGCTCGCCTGATACTCAGGTCAGATCCAGGGAGCAGATATAGAAATGGGATTACTGTAGATGGCGATAGATGGTGCTATGTGCAGCTGTCAGATCTCCCTCAATGCGCTCCATTCTGAACCTAGACAGTAGAGTGGTATAGAGCAGAGGCCACAGATGGAATTCTCACAGGGAAAGAAGGCCTTCGAAAGGAGTATTCGCCTGTTTGCTGCAGAATAGGNATACAGAACTTTCGAAAGTTCCTTATAACCATAGAAAATTTTTTTAAGAAATCGAAAGCACTAAGAATGACTCCGAGGAGATGAACTGAGAAAAGACATGGCTGACAGCTCGGAAAAGTGCTGTTTATCAGGATTCACCGTAGTTTTGTAGAAAATTCTTCGCATATGTTGTATTTAAGGGATCATGTCTGTTGTTGGTTGCTTCTGGGTGTTATTATGGGATACTAGTGTCATTTTTATGAATTTGTACATTTTGTACCTACGAATTGACGAATAATCCAGTTTAGTAATTTTATGTCAATATGTATGGTTAGTGAATGAAGCATACTCACTTCTATATTTTTCTGAGATATTAGAAATTTCATCTACATTCGAAGTGCAGGCGCACCTAATCGGCTCACTCTATCCCCACATGTACAAGCCAGTGTTTTCATCCTCCCAGAGGAGTCGGAGATCGATCAGCGGACTCCGTGCTCCCACGGCGAAGGCGATTACAGTCTACAATTGATTTTTCAAAGAAAAATGATAAAAAGAATACATCAGGGTGGAACATTCCAAAAGGTTACCTTCAGAATGTTATTTCAATGTGGAAATCGACCAGGTAAGGAATCGAAGGTTGGGTGAATGGGGCATGGAATGGGTCTCAAATTAGTGACTGGTAGCGAGTAACACCTCCCCCTAAGCAGCGTCATTCCATCTTGACCTGAAACCAATGGGTGATCCTAAAAACATTCAGTGGGCTACTGCCTGGTAGTAACTCTCCCGTGTCTCCCTCTTCCCCTGGATCGTCTGACCGTATGAGGAGAACTGTCACAGTTTGCTGAATTCTTATCAACCGTGTGGATCCTAACACTACCCAATCCATTTGGCATCTTCTATAAGACTTCTTTATGGCCTTTAAACTTCACTCATAATACCCTCTGTAGGAAACCCTCGAAACGGTCCACTCTGAAACTATCTTTTTGAAAAAATACTTTTCCATAATCTGTTTTGAAATACCAATTGAGTTAGGTGGCACTTAACCGTAGTGAAGCCATCGTAGCATAACTAATCCACTGATTCGCTCGAAATCGTTGAATTCGTAGAGCTCATGATCTCATGCGAATGCGATAAATGGGTAGGAAAATCAAAGACCAACAGAAATGGTATAAAAGAGGTAGTCATTGCAAATTTTGCATTTATTTCTACAATTTTCGACCACTTATTTTGCCCTCTAAAACTGCCGATTATCACTTGCCTCACAGGTAGTTTTTTATTTGTAGAAGTTTTCTGGAAACCCCTGTTTAGGTCCTGAAAAATTACTCATTAATTAGTCTTAATGACCTACATGGATAGATTCTACCAGTTTTCAAACTTTAAAAGAATATTGTATATGATTTCTTCAACCTATTGAAACTACAAAGTAGATTTCAATTGCACAGCGTCATGAACTAAAAGATCGACCTCTTTTGGAATCAAGAAAAGACTTTCAGGATGAAGACCGTCCTCGTTATTCTTGCCGTCGCCGGCTCTGTACTATGTGCTCCAAGTGATCCAAACGTCCTAGTAGACCCGCCAAATGAAAGGATTCGTGGCGATCACAAAGGTTCAGTTGGCTCGGATGAGAACGACATCCAGGGTGGACCAAGAAGCTACGGTGACCATACTGGTCACCCTCATCACGGCCCACCGCCACCACCGTACCTTGGAAATGTCAGTGACGAAGCTCGTCAGGAATACTTCACTATTGTTTCGAATATGAACAATTCAATTGGTCAGCAAAAGAAGGATATCCTCGCATGGGCTCAGAAAAATGGAGTTGAGGTAGGAACTTTCGTTTAGAAGGTTTGGTTTGTTCCTAGAAAGTCAGTTGACCATTAGGTATTGCAGTTGAAAACATGTTGCCACTGTAACTAAACATTTGACAAGATTTGGAACTATATGATAATTTACGTTCAGATGTGATATGAGTTGATATTTTACGATATGGTAGGATACAATATGACATCATATAATATGATATGATGTAATGTAGTAGAGCATAATAAGATATGATATGATATGATATGATATGATATGATATGATATGATATGATATGATATTTTAAAGCATGGTAGAATGGTGGGATATAATATCTTGTGATATATAATAATATGGCATGATATATGCTGATATGATACAATGTAGCATGGAATGATACCATATCACTTCATATCGCATCACATCGTCTAGTATGGCACAGTATGCTATGCTACGGCTAGCATTGATATGATATGATATGATATGATATGATATGATATGATATGATATGATATGGATATGGATATGTTAATATGATGTGATGTGGATGTGGCAGTGATATGTTATGATATGATGTGATATAAACATCATATGATATGATCATATCATATCACACCATATCACAGCACATCATATCATATCATAATACGATAGGGGTGGGATGCTCAAGGATCAGGTTTCCTGAATTCTTTCTTCCTTTACAGGCCCAAGTCCAGGAATTCAACAACAACATGACTCTTTTGGAAACACAAGTAAAGCAGAACGTAACAAACGTTATCAATTCCCTACCATCGGCTCTACAGCAGGTGCTCTCCATCGCGGGCAATGAAACTCTGACTCCTGAGGAAGCGAGAAACGCTAGAAAAGAGCTCATGACTCAAAATCCGCAGGTTTGATCAAATCGGACAGCGTTTAAAAGCCCATAGCATTTTACGGTATTTTTTAGGTGTACAGCATTATAAGACTTGTAATGGCCAACTTCCATTCAAGAGCTGCTTTTCAGCGAGATGGACCACCAAACTTTGCAGCCACGGTCGTCAGAGGACCAGAAGGTGGCAGTCAACCAGGTATGCTTTGATCTGACCAGAGTTCCTTTTGTAACTACTTCTAGCTACAGGTGTTATAGGTGTGATGATACTGGACGAAGAAGATGATGACCTCTAATGGGATCTTTCTGGTGACCATCTATTGGCTATCTGTCCCCACTGTTTTGTTCCATAGCATTTACTAACCGAATGTTATTTATCCTCCTAATAATCGAATGGTTAATGAAATAAATGGGTTTGTCATGCTTCCAGAGGTTCTACTGCTCGGTTTTACCATGAGCTATTAAAGAATAGAGTTATCACTGCAGAATCGAATTACAGCCTTGTATGAAGCCAATGAAGGCCTTTGATGACAACACTCTCTCTTATGCTGGTTGATTCGAGAAACAAATGATCGAGGCACTTTGATGGGTAGAAAACTTCAGAATAGCTCGGTGACTGTAATGTCGCTGCCGTTAAAATTGTGAAGTCCCATCGCTGGTACAAAGAGATCTCCATGATGTTGGTTAACCACCTATTTTAACTGGGATCGTTGGATCGTATCTAGGCCACGTACATTGTAATATCAGCAGATAGCGGAGAAAATCTTCAACATTCTATTTCTGAAGGAAGTCTAAGCTTGTCAGCGCAGCGCTGACAATTTGCACCAGGCTCTAACTACTCTTCTGAGCACTTGTGCGGATCGGATTCCCTAAGGATATTAGCACTCACTAAGACTGTATGTAGGTGGTGACCGTCCTTCCTCAGTGTATAGGAAAGACCTCAGTTCCTCTTTTTCCTCATTCACTTTTAGCGAATTCCCGAGTACTCCAACCTAACTAGGTGTATTAGCTATATGGACCGATCTGTGCTAGCCAGTAATAATTGGAATGTTGTGGCGTATAACTAGTAATCCGCGGTAATCGGGAGATAACCAATGTGTACACATTAATTCCTCTAACGATGCCACCGTTTGAAAAATTATTCTGATCCTTGAATATCAGATGAGTCACACACTGCAGCCATTGAATACATTTTTACAACTTATCTTGAACACTGTAAACAAAAATAGTATTCAGTCGATTTACAATAAATAGAGCTCAATAAGTCTCAACTAGGTAAATACTGGTTTTTCGGCCATTACGGCTGTGACCCCTGAACATTTTGCCTTGATTTTCAGGCTCATCAGCGTCTGAAAAACAGTTTTGCTTGAGATCTAACCTCCCAAACTTCAGAGCAATTCATACATTACCCATATTTTACAACAGGGTGATGTTGTAAATGTCACTTATGTAGCGGGCTTGGGAATCCTACTCTAATCCGACTCTGATAGGAATTCTGATTATTGGTGATAGGGAGCAGGGAAGTTTCCCATTTTGAAGTTTTCATCTTCCACTTCTTAAAGTGCCGCATTTGATAATGTATGTAGCCCTGCAGTATGGTCATGGCTAATTTCTGCCCAATGGTAACTATGAAAGCCTTCATGGGACCTTTTGGTATTGTGCTCTGGATTCAGAGCTGCAAGGTGCATTGGTAAGAAGAAGAGGATTCGGGCCTTGACCCCATTCGAGGGTCATGAACAGCAGTGACAGCTTTTTGCTCGAACTGTCCTGATCCCGACCTTCTTGCCCGTACGGTCCCCTGAACCTATAAGTCGTTTATGAACCACTCAAGTTAGTGTCCTTTGTTAGGTAACTGTTAATTTGGAGCCCCTACCTCCCTGAACTCTGACACAGAATCACTTTTAGACTTTACTACAAGCTTCAAAAGGTGTCTGTGAGTCTTTCGGGAGGAAACCACCTTTTAAAGGAAGGAAATCACCATTCGGTTCAGGATGGGTATTGTATATGCTAATTACGAAGCCACCGTGAGCTAAAATCCTCTGCGATCAGTGGCGGTACAGGACGGTAAGAGATGAGAATACTACGTCAAAGGGTGTTAGTAGCTGAAAACGTGAGCTAAAATCCTCTGCGATCAGTGGCGGTACAGGTCGGTAAGAGATGAGAATACGACGTCAAAGGGTGTTCGTTGCTGAAAACAAAGGGGCGGACTCGTTGCTGATTGGCACCGAAAAACAGGATGATAAAAGGATGTCGCTCAGGGTGTCCCACGTTACTCTTACTTTTTAGTCAGTTCTCACTGTAATGGGTACATCACTAGTTTCATCAGAGCTTCTTAGTCTTGCTTTTTTTTAATAAAAATCTCCTCGCATTCTGGTAAAATTTGTAATACAGTACAGTAAGGTAGTGCACGTTACGTATAACTGCAACTGTTTCAGGATGAAGACAGCCGTTGTGTTCCTGACCGTTGCCGGTATTGTGCTGTGTCGTCCCAACCCACCAGATATGCCCCCTATCCCCCCTCCAGGTGGTCCAGGAGGTCCCGAGGGAATGGGTGGCCCATTTGGTTCACACTGGCCCCATCCACCACCTCCATTCCTTAATGGTCTCAGCGAGCAAGCTCGTCAAACGTATATCACTATTATGAAGGACATGAATAACACGATCGCTAAGAAGAAGTCTGACATCCTCGCATGGGCACAAGCAAATGGAGTTCAGGTAAGATTTATAGGTCCGCCGATCCTAGGGAACTTCTAGACGCCTTTCATCGATAAACCCTCCAATTCTGACCTCAGAACGAGTATTTAGGCACAAGTGGAAGAGTATGAGAAAAATATGACAGACTACAAAGAAGAACTGAAAAAGAATATCACGGATTTGATCAAAGAGCTACCGTCGGCTAATAAGAAATTCAACGAAATCATCGACAATGAAGACCAGAGCATGTCTCAAATAAAGACCGCCATGGATACATTATCTGCTGAGAATCCCAAGGTACGTTACCCAGCATATCTGCCCCATTTCGGTGAGAATTTTAGCTTTACTTTTGTTCATTTTCAGGTTTTCCATGCTCTGATAGCCGTAATGAATCTGTTC